TTCACTTCGATATATCTGAACGGCAATTATGCGCCTCGACTGAAATCAGGAGAGAAGGAAGCAGAGGATTACCACTCGCCACCACCCCCCTCTCCCCTCCCATCTAATCCAGTGATCATATGACTACATTGGTAACAAGGAAATATAACCCAGGAGACGGATTCTTTATGATTTACGTCAAAATACGAAGGACATCTGCCATAGTTGATGAAAAACAAAGCGAAGCAGTAAAAATAAAACCAAATTTGGCAATGGCTTAGCGCCACAGAAATTTAAAAAATTACGTCTGTTTTCTAGGTGACGAAAGTTCTCACTTGGTCATATCGTAAAATCACTGTTCTTGACACATGATAGTTTCCACTCGGCACGAGAGTCGGAAATGTTGATTGAATTGAATTCATAGTTTTATTTAAAAAGATCTTTTGTAAAGGTTACAAGGCCACAGTTTTACGATGTGTGGGTACTGCTTTTATTCCAAGAAGGACTAATGCAAATCGTTTTACTTTACTCCGTTACAGCGAGCCTGCGCAGTCAGGCACACTCGAGAAAACCATGCCTGTCTGCTCTCTCTCGCGATGCCAGCGTTCTTTTTAACTTCCCACTGACACTTTTTTTTACTAAGGAGCGATTCGTGTAGGGAATACTAACAATGATCACCCTCTAAAACTTAATTATGCCCTCCACAGACCACAGCTTAGCACACACCGACACAAACTGCCTGTTGCGTCCAAAATTCCTCGAAATGCACAGTCTTTCAAGTACATCACAATAGCTGTCTCAGTATGACTTAACAAACATTCGGTCACTACCGACAACAACAAATACTATACTCTTTGATGACTGAGTCCTTACTAAAGGAAAATACCTTTAACCACCAACAAGAACTCATAGTAACACCGACAAAACTACGGAAAGCGCGGGAAAACGCGGACGACCGAATTGTGATTGGTTTAAGTTTTTCAGCTGATTGGTGGAGAGTGTAGTGCGACTTTTCCGGACTCAGAATCACAGCCCAAAGTGAAGCATAATAGATAAAATCTCGAATTACTTTCGACACTGAATTGAAAATTGCTCTAATTAGTTTTAGTTATATGTGAATAGGGTTTCCTTTGTTTCCACACTCTTTGTCAAGGGTTTGGGTAGAGTCTAACTACGGGCAGATAGACACGATCTTCTCTATTCTATTCCTCGGGCCAATTCTCCTAAATCTCTGCAAAACTTGGGCGGTCGTTGAGGAAAAAAAATGATTAGACCACTCCCCGAATGAGACTTTTAAGTGCCTTAATACACACAATATAAAACAAAAAAATCCAAATAAATATAAACTGGTTTAAGATCCGGACTGGCAGGAAGTAGACAAGTTCAAATCATGCTCAGGCTTCAGGTGCAGATACTTTGTTATTTTCCTTTGTGCATTTTTCCATTTCATTGCCTTCATCACTCGGAGATGTACTTCTCCTGTTCTTTTTAACTGTTGAGAACAAGCAATATTTCAAATTGAGATGATATTAAGTGCCTCGGGATGTTGCATTCTTTAATTTATTTTGATGTCGAGAGCAGGTTCCTAACTGTAATGATTGACTCCCGAAACGCTCCCATGAGGACCAAAGAAATAGAAATTTTTATTCTAAAATAATTATGAGCACCACACATGGCACCAGGAAAAACATTTCTTAAGATCCGACAAGATTACGACCTCTGAAACTCCCAAGAGTCTCTGAGATCCCCAGAAGAAAGTCTACCAGTCAAATTGAGAATTAGTAGAATCCTTAATGTAGCTCGCTATTTCTCTCCACTAATACTTTTAGCACACTTCAAATATATTCAGGGATCAGACTCGCCATATCGTCTATCCTCATAATAAGAGATCTTAAAGTTATGGTCTCCTACCAAGCACAGGACGAACTGGGAGGTAATTATTGCACCAGACCCACTTTCCCGTAAGGACAGGAAGCGATCGAACTCACCAATGAAAAGACAATATACTGCTGTGAAGACGAGTAGAAGAAAGACCACACAACCCAATCCTATTCCTGTGGCGGCCGCTGCCGATAAGGATCTCTTTGGCGCTACGATTTAAAATGAAAATTGGAAAGTCTTTAAGAACCGCTTAAATTAGTGATAACATATGATGATCATTGATTGAAAAATATAATAAGGTGGAATTATATCACTCAATAATTTCGTTAATTATGTAATCCGTCAACACTCAGAGACCGAAACTAATTCATTGCTTAATTGAGGGTAAAATTCAACCCCCACCCCATGGAGTTCTCGCACCATTAAAAGAAGATCTGATTGTCAGCCTGTGATGGGTTCACAAGATCAAGTGCGTTTTGAGGGTTAAAGCACTTTTGGCGAAAAGCAAGGTTTGTTACTACGAAATAACACAGCTCTCAACTTGCTTTGCATATTCATCAATACGATCTCTGCCGATCTAAAGATATCTGGAAACCCGAAAGCGTTTAGGAATTACATCTCATCTGCGAGTAAAGGATAAAAAAGCTAATCACCGAAAACATGAATTCTAATTATTCGTCCGTCTTTACATCTGAGGATAATGCAACGTCGTGGATCTCAAACTGTCAACTATCCAATGTAATGTAAACGAAATTAACTACCTTCTTACGAAACTAAACTCGCACAAGTCCCACGGGCCTGATTCTTTCACCGCGCGTGCTGAAGGATGCGCCGTCGAGTGAGCGACCTCTCTTCGCTCATCAGCCCCTTCGATACTAGTCAGGTGCCGTTGGCGTGTAAAATAGCCGATATTGTCCCCGTCCACAAGAAGGGTAAAAAAGACTGCAGAGAGCCCCGGAAATTTCGGCAGATCTCGCTTACCTTGATTGTGTGCAATTTGGATTTCTTGAAACGAAGTCCACTTAAACGCAATTACTATCTTGATTTAACGACTGAGCGACATTCAGAAACAGATCGAAACCAACAGATTTTTTTTTTCGAAGCATTCGATTCTCTACACTACGAACGATTACTGCTTAAGCTAAAGTGGTATGAGATTGATGGACCCCTTCTGTTTTAGTTCAGAAATTTCGTAACTAACCGCCTGAAACGCGTCGTGGTGCGTGGCACTTATTCTTCATGGTTTCTTGTGTAATCTGATGTTGTCTATGGCACAATCCTGGGTCCTTTTCTTTTTTTTAATATATTTTTATAATATAAACTCAAACATCTCGTCCAAGATGAAGTTGCTCACCAACGACACAAAGATACATCGAGGACTTTCAAACATAAAAAAAGAAACGCAGGAGCTACAGTCCGACACCGACCAGCTAGCAGCATGGACTGAGAAATGAAGTCGGCTCTTCAATCTCGACAAATGCGAGGTAATGCGAATAACGCATGAGGGTTGTCCAATACACCCAAACCGCTACGATTCGTCGAAGGCAGTTTGCGAATCGTTCTACGG